AATCCTATGTTGGAGCATAGTTTATGGGACATGGGTAATCGCCACTTGTCCACTCGGTACTAAGCATAACTCCCACAAAATATTCATTATTCTGAACTTTCCTTAACATTCATGAGACATGGGTAATCGCCTCTTGTCTCATCATTGGAGGTCATGGGTAATCGCCGCTTGCCTCATTATTAGAATAACTCCTTAACTTTGATTCATTTTAGGTGAGAAGACAATTCAACCTTAGAATCCTTTATGTGAGAAAATCTTTTCACAACAATTAACAACAACAACATTATATATTCTTTACTCTAAAAGTAGCTCACATCATAATTCATCAATTTTATGAGAACATGCATTTTCTATAATTCTGCTTTCATAGTTCAAAACCCACTTTCAATCATCATAATTTGGAAAACATTGGTTAAGCATAGGTTCATGGGATTCATCTTAAAAACATGAAATTATCTCAATTCATGCATAAAAGTTCATAAATCAACATTTAAAGGAACTCATGACATAGAAGAAAACCCTAACTCAATTGGGGATTTCTAACTTTATAAATTGGAGAATTTAGGAACTCCATAGAGGAAAGGGCCCCATGGATGAAGACTGTCATACCTTAATGCCAAAAATTTGGAAGCAATGGAGGATAAGGAGGCTTGATCTTGAAACCCTAGCTTTCTTATTTTTCTACTTTTAGAGAGAGAATTATTTGGAGAGAGGAAGACTTGTTCTTCTTTTTAGTATTTGAGAGAATGATTTCAATTGAGGGGCTTTGAGAGTTACAAACGTTTATATATGCTTCTACTTTAGGGCAAAACGACATAGTATTAGGCTAGAATAATTAGGAAAAGACCTAAAATCCCTCATAAAATAATTGACTCTCGTTGACGGCATGACTTACGGTCAGTTGGTCAGACTACAGATTGTGTTGGTTGACCGTCGATGGAGTTCAGAAACTCTAAAATGGGACCTCACGATGGACTCATGCACGATCTATGGTTCTACAAACGGGCCGTGCATGCCCAGTCGTGGGTCTCAATTTTGATTCCAAAATTCCTCTAAGTCCAGGACTCACCTACGAAACCTACTTACGACTCGTACATAGATTGACAGACCATCCTGGTGAACCGTCGAAAAAGTAATGGAACTTTACATTCTTGGGAACTTGGATTGGCCAGCCACAGAGTTGATCTACAGACCATGTGTCAGTCCACGGGCCATGGGTGGCTCTGTCAGAACTGGCACCAGATCTTAAAAAAGCTGTAATTTTCTACCTTTTTGAATCTGAGGTGTTACATTATCTCCCCCTTGGGAACATTTATCATCGAATGAGATTCAAGATATCATAAGGAGGGTAGAAACTTAATCTAACAGCCCAAAATGAATGCAATTACATAAATGCACATATCTGCGGAGGAAACATCAACTCCAAGCTAAAGCATGTTCAAAACATCATATCACGAAGTCTATATGCAACTCATGCTCAAATGCACATAAACATGTAGAAATCCATCAAGTTAACTCATTTTCTTAAAAAATTAACCTTTCATGAATCATGCATAATGAGGAAATCATCGGAATATCTAAGACACATGACACCAAAAGAGTAAACCATGAGGACTAAATACCTCAAGCTAGATGAGGATTAGAATGAAAGAGATGAAGATAACGGGACACCATATTGGCCTCGACCTCCCAAGTAGAACCCTCAACTAACTGATCCCTCCAAATAACTTTCACGAAGGCAACTTCTTTGTTTCTCAACGTCTTGACTTGCCGGTCTAAAATCTTGACCGGAACCTCTTCATAAGAGAGATTCTCCTTAATTCTCAAACCTTCTAAGGGAACTATAAATGTCATATCTCCAACACATTTCTTTAACAAGGAGATAGGGAAAACTTGATGCACCGATGCCAAATCATTAGGTAAATCAAGCTCATAAGCAACTTTACCAATTCGCCTAAAAATCTAATATGGGCCCATATATCGGGGACTAAGTTTCCATTTATTCCCAAACCTCATCACACCCTTCATGGATGAAATCTTCAAGTAGAACCAATCATTTACTTCAAACTCAAGATCTCTTCTTCTAACATCAGCATAAGACTTTTGTCAACTTTGAGGCATTTTCAACCTCTCTCTTATAACCCGTACCTTTTCCATAGCCTTATGTACTAACTCGGGACCTATCTAGGCAACTTTACCCACTTCAAACCAACCTATAGGAGATCTACACCTCCTACCAGGTAAAGCCTCAAATGGATCCATACTTATGCTTGAATGATAGCTAATATTGTACACAAACTCAATCAAAGGCAAATAATCATCCAATTACTCCTGAAGTCAATTACACATGTTGTCAACATATCTTCCAAAGTCTAAATTATACGCTCTGCTTGACTATCGGTTTGTGGATGAAAGGCCATACTAAGCTTAACACGAGTACCAAGACCATTTTGGAAATATTTTCAAAACTGAGAAGTGAATTGGGTACCACGATCGGAGATAATGAATAAGGGCACTCTATGCAACATCACCATTTCTCTCAAATATAACTTAGCATAGTCTTCTGCCAAATAAGAAATCTTGACGGAAATGAGTTGATTTCATCATTCGATCTACTATAACCCAAATTGAGTCATGTTGCCGTCGAGTGCATGGTAAAGCAATAATGAAGTCCATATTCAAATCTTCCCACTTCCAAGTAGGAATGCTAATATCTAGAGATAAACCTCTCGGCTTTTGATGCTCAACTTTCACTTGTTGACAATTAGGACTCTTAGCCACAAATTCCGCAATATCCTTCTTCATTCCATTCTACCAATAGACCTCCCGCAAGTTATGGTACATCTTGGTGGCTCCTGGGTGAATAGAATACCAAGAACTATGGGCTTCTGAGAGAATCTGCTCTCTCAAGTCATCAACATTAGGAAAACACAAAAGACCTTGATAGCAAAGCACACCATCTCCCTCTTGGGAGAAAGCCTCTACGGACTTCTTAAACATCGTTTCCTTCAACTCGACCAAAGTCAGATCACACCCTTGTTTGGCTTTCACATCTACCATAAAGGACAATTCTGAACCATCGTGGACCATAACACCACCTTTGGTAGAGTCAACTAACCGAACGCCCAATCGGGCCAATCTATGAACATCTCAAACCAACTCTTTTTTATCTTCTTCAATATGAGTAACACTACCCTTCGATAACTGACTAAGATAATCCGCTACCACATTCACCTTACCAGGGTGATAGAGAACACCCATGTCATAGTCCTTTTGTAACTCAAGCCACCTTCTTTGGTGAAGATTTAGATCTTTCTGTTTAAACACATATCACAAACTCTTGTGGTTGGTAAAGACATCTACATGAACACCATACAAATAATGCCTCCAAATCTTTAAGGCAAAAGCACTAACGCTAGTTCAAGGTCATGTGTAGGATAATTCTTCTCATGAAACTTAAGTTTCCTTGAAGCATAGGCAATGACTTTCCCGTTTTGCATAAGGATACATCCTAACCCAATTCTTGAGGCATAACAATAAACAACAAAACTATCAGTCCCTTCCGGTAAAATCAACACCTAAAGTGGAAGTAAGTCTATCCTTCAATTTTTGAAAGCTCTTTTTAGACGCTTCAGACCATATGAACTTAGCCTTCTTTTGAGTCAATGTCATCAATGAAGAGGCAATTGAAGAAAACCCTTCAACAAACCTTCTATAATAACCGGCTAAACCCAAGAGACTTCTAATATTTGAAGGGGATAGAGGTCTAGGCTAACTCTTCACCGCATCCATCTTTTTAGGATCTACCTCAGTACCCTTTCCGAAAACAATATGACCAAGGAAGGCTACATACCGTAGCCAAAGCTCACATTTGCTAAACTTGGCATAAAATTGTTGGTTCTTGAGGACTTGCAACACAATCATCAAATAATTAGTATGGTTGTTTTCACTCCTTGAATAGATCAATATATCATCAATGAACACAATCACAAACATATCAAGGTACTGTCTAGACACTCTATTCATCAAATCCATAAATGCGGTCGGAGCATTAGTCAAACAAAATGACATTACCAAAAACTCATAAATACCATACCAAGTTGAAAAAGTCATCTTCTTTCACCCTAAATTGGTGATAACCCAACCTGATGTCAATCTTATAAAAGTAGCGTGCCCCTTGAAGTTGGTCAAATAAGTCATCTATCCTTGGGAGGGGATATTTGTTCTTAAAGGTAAACTTGTTCAATTGCCGATAGTCAATACACATACAGAGTGAACTATCTCTCTTCCTAACAAACAAAATAGGAGCACCCCATGAAGAGATACTTAGTCAGATGAAACCCTTATCCAAAAAATCTTTCAATTTCTCCTTTAACTCCTTAAGTTATGTCCGAGCCATTCGCTAAGGAGAAATGAAAATAGGTTGCGTATATGGGAGAAGGTCAATATACAGAAGTCTATTTCCCTTTTGGGAGAAACACCAGGTAAATCATCTGGAAACACTTCGAGAAAATCATTAACAATGGGGAACGACTCAAGAGTAGGGGTTTCGAAATCCATATCGCACACCCTAACTAGACGGTATATGCAACCTTTCGAAATCATCTTTCTAGCTTTAAGACAAGAGACTAATCAACCCTTAGGCATAGAGTTTCCCCCTTTCCACTCTAGGATTGATTTATTTGGAAATTTAAACTTGACTACACTGGTTCTATAATCAATAGAAGCATAACATGAGTGCAACCAATCCATACCAAGGATAACATCGAAATATAACATATCAAGCTCTACAAGATCAACATGAGTTACTCTATAGGACAAGAAGACACTTTTTATAGATCCTCTTAGCCACGATAGAATCGCCAACTGGAGTAGAGACACAAAAAATGATCTAACAACACATCCGAAGGAATATCAAACCTTATAGCCACATATGGCATCACAAAAGACAAGGTAGCATCGGGGTCAAGTAAAGCATAAACATCAAGTTGGAAGACTTTCTACATACTGGTAACCACATTGAGAGAACCCTCTTGTCCTCTACGAGTCTGAAGTGTATAAAATTTGTTTTGCTTCTGACTTCCACTAGAATCGGATGAAGGATTCGGTTGAGCCCGTCGATGATTTTCTCCCTTATTCTTAGCAACTGAGGGGTAGTCCCTTATCTTGTGGTCTATCTTTCCACAACCAAAGCAAGCATCTGTGCCAGCTAAGCACTTATTCTTGTGCTTCTTTCCACACTTAGCACAAGTAGGCATAAACAATGAAGATCAACCACCATTCCCTCCTTGAGGCTTAGGGTAAGACACCCTATCTTTGTTGAACTTAGATGGAGCATTGGAAGAACCTTGATCGGAAAACCATTTTCGGAACTTAGAACGACCATGTCCATCGGACCTCGAATGTGAGAAGTTACTATCACAGACTTTGGCCCTCTTTGCTTCCCTAAACCTTTCTCTAAGTTTCTCCTCTTCAATTTTTGAGCATGAACCATATGATGAGAAATGTTTGTGTCATTGATGATCATGGTGGTATGACATTGCTTAACAACCATTTTGGATACACCCAAAACGAACTTGCTCATCCTTGCCATAGTATCGGCAATAATGGTGGGAGCATATCGAGAACATTATGTGAACGTTAAAGCATATTCCTTCACACTTATGTTTCCTTGGCGAAGGTTGATAAACATAAGTACCTTTGCCTCCCTCATCTTAAAGGAGAAAGAACCTATCAAGGAAAGCAACTTTGAACTTTTCCCAATCAAGAGGACTCACATCTTCTGCTCTCCCTTCTTTCCATTGTTGAACCATATTTGAGCAACACCCTTAAGTTGATAAGAGGCCAACTCGGCCTTTTCCACCGACGTCACTCCCATGATCACCAACACATTGTAAACCTCATCAATGAACTCTTGAGGGTCTTCCTCTACCTTAGTACCATGAAACTCCGGAGGATTTATCTTAGTGAAATCCCTTACTAGAGATGTCGTCGTACCCATATTTGGGTTCACGAGGAACACAACCTCCTTATTGTCTTGAGCTGTCATGGCTTGAACGAACACTTGAAAAGCAGCCCTAAACTCTACATTAGTCACTTGCTCGGCCAAAGGGTCGAATGGAACTTGAGGAAGATCTTCTCGTTCCACAATCTCTCCCATATTCCTTCTAGAATATTCTCTTCGAGTAGCCGTATCCTATAGAGAATATGATAAGGATTAGGAGAGAGACATTATAGAGTTAAACTCTATCGCACGACGTTAGAGTAATGAAAGAAGTGGAGTTTCCTAGACATCTTATATACTCTCATTCATAAGTGTGGAGAGCTTTACACTCATGAACAAGACTCTAGTCGATGTGGCTTATGAGACTTCCTAGGATCTTTTGAAGCATTGTGCTCTGATTACCAAGTTTGTCACGACCCAAGGTAGACCCTATGTGTAGCATGGTATATAAGACCCCGAGAGGCCCAATACAAGCCACTTAGTATACATCATACAAGATTTAATAGAAATCTGGAGATTTAAAAGACAAATTCAAAACATAGAATCTTATAAAATGAAGTGGAAAACTAACAAAATCTCAAGGCCATCTAGTACATAAGAAGTGCTCGAGATGTAGCATGTACATCAAGTCCAAAACTTAAATATAAAGACAAAATGAATAAAAGTTTGGCCCTCAAAACATGAGGACTCACCAATCTTCAAATCTTTACTAAAGATCCATAGCCATGAGAGTGCGAACCTGAAGCGTCGTACCTACATTTAATAAGAAATGTAGGCAAGAGCATGCGTTAATACAAAAATGTACCAAGTATGATAGAGATGCATGAAGAGTAAAAATCATGATGAAAAGACATTTTCGTGATATGCAATGACCAATCTATATAACATGATATAAAAGGATTAGGAACCATAAGTCATAAACCATTGTCAATGCAAGTAGACATTATCTTAAATCACATGTGAGATCCTTCTTGAAGAAACCTTGATTCGTTAATGTGGGAGAATTACCTTTAACCGACATGTAAGACCATGAGATATCAACATGGAATTCGGCGTCTACCCCACACTGAAAAGAGGTGTTCTCACTTGCCAAAGTTAGAACCATGTGTTTTATTGAAAAAATAGATCGATACTGGTTTAGAGTTGCCACTTAATTTTTAAAGTGAAATTAAGAAAACTATTGTTTTCAAAAGACTACAACAGAAAATTTGATGAAGAATTTTAAAAGGGGTTCGGGGTTCATATTAACATTTTAGGAAGGGTTTAAAAGCACCCGAAATGCCCGCTAACACGCGATTATCCGGTAATTAACTATTTGGCAAGTTATTTTAAAGAAGATGGGCATACTTGATTAAATAGAGGGAATAAGCAATTATGACTTAAAATCATTTTTTTAGGGGAGAGGGAAATATTAACAATATTATTAAGTAAATTTTTAAAGTAATTTAAGTAGAAAAATAAGCATGATTATTTAGTCTTTAGAAAATCCCGAAGTGACTATCTTTTGGGGAAATCAAATTAGGAACCTTAAAATTGACTAGCAAATAAACGTTTAAACAAATACGAAGCAAATAAAAATAAAGGGATAGAGAGAGTTTGGGGCCCAAGTTTGGTTTTCTGTCCGTCTGGGCCAATACTTGGGCCTACTTTCACTTTGGGCTTTTGGCCCATTAGAGCCCACCTGTACCTGTCCTAGGCTAACATAAAAAAACTAACTTTCTTTTGAGCTTTTGGCCCAATCTCCACCTATCCTAAAACTAGCAAATAATACCAAAAATAAATGGGTCTTTGACCCAATTACATCACAATACAAAAACTGAAATTTAAGAGGGCTTCTCAGGCCTATTTCTGCTGTGATATACAACGTATACAACTGTTGTATACAATGTGTATACAATCCTTCTTGGACTCTTGAACACCTGTACATCGACTTTTGGGGACATGTTCCTCAATTTTATTGGCTGGCCGACTCAGAAGGAAGTGATTTAAGCCTTTATGGCTCTCTCGAAATGCAAGAAAGGGAAATAAGACTCCAAGAGGACTCGGATGGTATCACATGCAACAAAAATAAAGAAAAATAACTAGCATATGAAAATAATAAGAATGATAATATGCATAAGATAAATTATCAACTAAACGCAATTGAACTCATCAGTGGAGCTCCAAAGAAAGAAATGCACTCACAAAGCAAACCAACCCAAGTTGATGATCAAAAGTTGATTATTTATGCTACTGCTTCCAAACAGAAAGCAACAAACTGTACCTCAATTTTGTATATCAAATTTGGAAAATGAATCATACTTCGTCAAAACAAAATAATACTAAACCATACTAATAGCACTGACAAATATAAAATCGAGCCAAATAAACAATAAAACAAGAAGAGATCAAATAGAATATTAGTGCACACTAAAATAAAAAGAGTAACCATTTTCCTTCCCAAAAAATATCTGCTACCTCGAAAGAATTTAAACAACCAAAAGTTGCAACCATTTGACTCTCACATGTATTCTCAACTCACAACCAAATCAAAGACATAAGCCAACACACTCACATAATATGCAAGGACTCAAGAACCACATTGATGAAGCAATAACCACTACAAGGGAGGGACTCGATGCACCACACTTCATTGCTAAAAATTAACGAATTCCTATGAACTAAAAAAAATAAACTACAATAGAGAGCTTAAAGACATAGTAAACAGAACAGGGAAATCAAGTAGAGGGAAAAATGGGTAGAAGTCAAGAACTAAAACAAAGGAAAATGAGGATAAAATTTGGGAAGGGAACATACACACAACAAGAACCAATACTCCGAGTCAAATTCAATAATCACAAGTAAAAGATTTAGAATGAAGGCACTAGAGACATAAGAAGAAAACCAAAATCTTGAAGTCTTGATCCATTCATCCAATTCAAGGTGCAAGAAGAAGAACGTGACGTCTAACATAAAACACTATTACAGTTTTATGGTGAACAAGAACAAACTAAGACTAGTACGGCATTTCAAAATCGATCACGGATATACCATAAAAAATAAGAAGACAGGAGCAACAAAAGTCAGGAACCAGCCTTCCCACGTCTATACGCACATATTCAGGAATCAAAGTTAATAAAACAACAAAACAAAAAGAAACTAACTCTTATGGGAAACCAATAAGAAAATGAACAAACAAACAAAATGCAACTATACTAGGAGTGACAAATTCAGATTCAAACGAGCAAAAGAAGGTATAGAATTTATCATCTACACCAATAGTAAACTACAAATAGAATAGGTGAGGGGACTGATAAAAAAATGAAGAACCATACCTTTTTCGGAGCAGCGAACTAGAGACAACGAGCTTCTGAACACGACTCCACCACCAGCCACGCTTCATCGGGTTCCGGCGAGAGATTTCAGCAAAAGAGTGTAGGAAACTCGACACGGTAGTTCGAGATTAGAGGTCCTTAATATAACTACTGTATTTGTGCCCCTTTATGTATTTTCCGTCTGTTTTTTTCTCAACTTTTATATATAAACTATGTTCTTCCAACTCTATTTTTTCCAACAACTTAACTAAAGGTAAATAGGGGATTTATATAAAGGGGAATAGGGCAGATTGGGGGGAAATTGGGTGAAGCAAATGGGATCCATTTCAATTCAAAATTTGAATTCTTTTATGTACAAAAAACCCCAATTTCTCAACAAATTCCAATGGCTAAAGAACAAGAGCCGTTTGATTCTTTGCAAGGACGTACAAGGCAGGGAGATCGCTCCACCTGACTGCGAAGGACGAATGCGCAGCTACGCCTGCTGGAGCAGTACTTCACATACTATTTGTCGAGGCGGTTGGAGAAGACGACAAAGCGATCTACTTTTTGCCGTGATTTCCACCGCTGCTCGCTTTTCGTGAAGACGCCATTTGCTTGCTGTTGAAATCGATGTCGTTTGCTCGTTGTTGTGTTGCTGCTGTGATTTACGCCGTGTACTGATGCGTACAACTGATGTATTTTGTGAACGTTGGAGTTGCTTGGTCGTGTGAGGACTATGGGTTGTTGTATGTATTATATTGTAATTATGGGCTGGGTTAATTGGATAAAAGATTGGGCTACTGGGAAGGAAAAGCATTGGGCTGGGATTAAGTTAATTGGGCTGCTGAAATTTGTGGAAAAAAATGCCCAAACGGATTTAGGGAATTCGGCTAATAAGTTACAATTTTAACCGAATTGAGTGGTCAATCGCAATACAAATTTAGCCAATGAATTAGGAATGTAGTCAAATTGAATTCATTTGATAAATTCGGCTAGTAACTAAATAAGACGAATTAATATAAATTAATTAACGAACTACTTACCCTTAATGGAATAAAATAATTAACTTAATTATAAACTAAATAACTAAAAAATATAAACTATTATATAACTAAACTAATTAACCAAGTATATAAAAAAACTTTTTTTTGAGATGGTTTTGAAATATTCATAAATTATACTAATTATATACAAAATTATACAAAACATATATATTACTTAAAATTTATAAAAATGATAAAATTAATTAAAAGTAACTTGAAAAATATTTTGAACTTTACAAAAACTAATTATTTCAAATAGTTTGGAATTTAAGAAGCTCGGTGATTAATCTATATTGTGGAGGTCCAAAATTGGGTGTCAATAACTGTCCCTCGTTTGACTTGGATTGATGAAAGAAATCCATGGCAAATGAAATTGACTAATCCAATCTTGATTAACCACCTCTTCATATCTTCTAAAAAAAAAGAATTTTGGTACGGACTTTAGGAATTATGGCCGAACCCCGGAAGTGGGTTTTCCTACATATCTTAGGCTATATGAGAATTCAGGTCACTTGTAGTTCGATACTCTTGATTTGACGCACGATTTGAAAGAATTCAAAGGACATCCCGATATCAGATTATGAAGAGATCGAAATGCTCGAGAATAAGATTTAAGAGTGAATGTTGGATTACAGCCGAGTTTTCAACATTGAGCCCGCCTACATATCCTCAACTCAAGGAATCAGGCTGTTTGTAGTTCGACTCAATCGGTTGAAAAGGAAATCTATTATGCTAAGATAACCTTCGGTTGGGAAGAGTGACAAAATAAGTCGAGTATGAAAAATAAGCTTGCAACCTCTTAGCCATGAATATGGTGCACTTTACACCCATAAGTAAGAACTTACACGAACATAATTTCCAAAGCTCTTGGTGCATTGTCACTCGGATTGGAAAGTTGCCTACGGTGAAAACCAAAATTTTTCCGAATGCAAAACTGAAACTGATAAACCTAAATAAGAACCCACATGTCTTTTGATAGGGGTGTGGTTTGATTGTGGTGGAAGTCGCTCCTCAGCTCA